AATCAGAAGCCAAGTCGACGGACCCACCGGCCGCTAAGCGTTCACGGTGGTCCTACCGTATACCTCAAAACAACTCACCCACCAAATCGGCCAAAAAAGAGGAAAATTTATGATGTGCAATTTCCCTAAAAATGAGTTATTATGAGGTCTCATCCAAATTGGGCAGTGGTGTGATATTATGATGTGATACAGTACGCCGCGTTACAGCTTGTTACACACTATACTTTAAACATGATTATGTTTTAGTATTGTCACGGAATCGTAGCGTAGCCGTTAGAGCTCGCAATTAATAGCGTGAGTTGTTGCGGCGCGGGTTCAATTCCTCTAAATCAGGGGTTTTGTACGATCCAATTTTTGAAAAAGAGAAATCGGTACTGGGAGAGACCTTTGGGAGAGAGACTTGCGTGACCCTGAGCGGTACCGGTACCTAATTAAATTGATGTTCTTCAACTCTCATTCCTACATTGCACCTCGTCCCCCAAGCCAGCATGAACATGACCGCAATTCCCTCCTTTGTGATGATCAACGAGCAAACCTTCTCCGTCATCGACGTCCCCGGCGACGGCAACTGCCTCTTCCACAGCATCGTGGCATCTCGCAACCTCAACTGTGCCAGTGCCGAGGAGCTCCGTGGCCGTCTCTTCGACTTCGCTTCTGGTGAAAATCGAGGGCTTTGTGCTCGCATCCATCATCAACTCGGCGTCCACACCGAGAACTTTGATGAGTTTCTGGCCGGTCTGGCGCAGGACAGGACATGGCGGTCGACGGTGGACGTGTGCATCGTCACTTTGGCGTTCGGTATCGACGTGGAAACCGTCGCCTTCACGGCCCGGGGTCTGTTTGTCTTCTCTGCCAAGAGCTATCTGCACCAACACTGTGGCACTCCGGAGAAGGAGCCCTCAGAAGACACGATCCGCGTCATTCACCACCCATTCAGGGGGTCCTTGTTCAACGTGGATCTAGACCTTTCTCTTGTGAGTGACCCGCATACTCCTGATATGCTCTCTGCAATACCAGGAAACTCACGGACGCATCATTTAGGTTCCACCCAGCGTCGAAAGCGGTCCTAGTTCCTACGGGAACCAAGCGTGTTGGAACGAACAACCCAGTCGACGACGACAAGAAAGGTCTGACGCTTGTCGTCGCGTGCGAGCTTACGCAGTCCAAGCTGCTGCCTCCGTTCATCATCGACACAGGCAAGTTTGGGGCGAAATTGATGACCGAGTGGGCGCAGCACGAAGAGAGTGTCGTCCTCTTCAATGAGTCGCACTGGATGACGCAAAACATCTTCATGATGTTCCTGTCGTGGCTTCTTGCTCTGTACCCCAAGAAAAAACTCGGTACACCTTTTTGACTAAAGCACACCGTGACGTCATTCAACACACATAGGTGTCATCGTGGACCGGTCGACGACTCACTTTGGTGAAGCCGTCGACGTCTTTGTCAAAGACGAGTGTGAAGGACGTATCTCCCTCGAGTACATCCGTGAAGGCATGACGAGCATCCACCAAGTCGGCGACATCGCGCTGAACAAGCCTATCAAGTCTCGACTGCGCGAGCTTTACTACGGTCACCGCATCGACGCCCTGGACGATGCGACGCCCGGCGATCTCTTTCGCGTCAGACGCGACCGCGTCTTCGGTTTTGTCGAGAAGGTCTACGCCGACATCAACAAGGACAATCGCACTCGTCGATGGATCGCCGACGCCTACGACACGTGCGGAATGAACCCGTGGGCGACCAACCAAGATCGGTTCAAGGCCCACCTAGACGGCTTGAACATGACTGGCGCGTACGAGGCGATGCTCACCAATTTGCAGCCCCTCACCCTCGACTAGGGCAAGGTTAACACCAGCTTCATAAATGTCGTGGTGTGTTATTCTGAGATTTCGAGTCAGCGCTTGACACCATACGGTGCATTATGAAAATTTGGATAGTGAGTTATTGTGAGGGCCAAAATTGGGATTAGTGAGTTATTTTGAGGAAAATCGAGGTTAGGGGTAAAATCGCGAGGTGAGTTGTTTTGAGGTATACGGTAACTGCTCCTAAGAAGGACAGATTAAGAATACTGTACATTTGTTGAATGAAGAAGTAGAACACCATTTCGTACTAAACTCAACTAGTATTAAACAACGAGCTGCGATCAGAGCTGCGGTGGTGATCTTATTTTCAGTCTTGTTGGTTGGCGCCAAAATCTCCGAAACCGTACAATCTGATTCTGATTGGCGGATTCTAGCCAATAAGAAGGTAACCGGCTCACTGAGTTGCCGTCGGTAGCTAAATGGTCGGGAGGACTGCAGACGCCGCAAGCTGTACCAACGACCTAAAGA